CAAATAATTTAGAAACTTTAGAAACTGTGTTTGCCCTTTTAAGTTTTGTTTTGGCCGAGGAATCTACAACGGAGGTGTCCAGAAATAACCAAAATATGAAAGAGTCAGCGTTTTATAAGGGGCGATATACTAAAGGAAAATATCAACGCCCGATAGAGCCTATGCAATGCGACCATTTTATAGCTTTTTGTTTTGGGCCATTTTCTAACCATTATCTGTAATAGTGGTGTATTTTTACGAAAAAAAAACCCTAGAGTTTGTACACTTTAAAAATGAAAAAGTAAATGATAAATTATAAATATTTGACACTTGCTCAGCTAAGTTACAAGTGTGAAATACGCCCACTATCAGTAGAGATCCATAAAGCGAATCATACGAATCACAAGTCTCAAAGTTATTAAAGATATACTATGTTCATCAATGGAGTAAAATATTTTTTATCGCAAAAACTTATTGAAATCTATTTAAAATTCTTAATGAATATGTCTAATTTGAATAACAGAATATACAAACTATTTATGGGAGGCTGCTCTTCTTTTTTTTTCATACGGGTCAAGTTATGAGGGATTTTCTTAGGAAAAAAGGTCCTTTCTTAAAAAAAAAACCCGACTCGTATTCGTATAGCTGGATAGCTTCCACACATGAAAGAATTCTAAGTCCCTGATCGGATTCAAACCCAAGTAATTTGAAGTCTACAACATTAACTTAAATATAAAGCTAAGTCTCCCTGCATATCATTACAGTCCGACCATGCTCCTTTTCGTTGGTAGTTAAAATAAGTATTGAAATTCTTACAAAAATGGAGAGAAGAATAAAGTTTGAATTTTTTGACAATATAGATCATGTGATTAAGGTTTACAGAAGGAAAAGAAAACTGGCAAGACAATACCAAGAGAAGAATATACTATAGACGGGCAAATAATGAGTCATGATAAATTAGCTACATGTGTACTGTTAAATTATTAGAAGACTCTAAATTATCACTTACGTACGGTGGCTTAAAGGTGACATTTGTGCTGTTATATTTATCTCATGCGCACGACTTAATTATGTCGTTCCCATGATAAGTAACTCGTGGCCACGACAGTATCTCGTGCGAACCATTTAAGAATTTCTTTGCCACAACTTAGTATCTTGTGCCACGTCTAACTCTTGGCTACGACATAATATCTCGTGGCCATGAAATAGCATATTATGCGCACCACCTTATTTTTCAAGGCCACGACTTAGTAACTCATGGCCACGACATAATATCTCGTGGCAATGACATAGTATCTCGTGTGAACCACTAACATATCTCGCGGCCACGACTTAGTAGCTTGTGTCTACGACATAATATCTTGTGGCCATGACATAGTATCTCGTGTGCACCACTAACATATCTCGCGGCCACGACTTAGTAGCTTGTGTCTACGACATAATATCTTGTGGCCATGACATAGTATCTCGTGTGCACCACTTAATTATCTCGTTGTCACGACTTAGTAGCTTGTGTCCGCGACATAATATCTCGTGGCCATGACATAGTATCTCGTGCGCACCACTTAATTATCTTGAGGCCACGACTAATTAGCTTGTGTCCACGAGATAATATCTCGTGGCCATGACAAAGTATCTCGTGCGCATCACTAAATTATCTCGAGGCCACGACTTGGTAGCTTGTGTCCAGGATATAATATCTCGTGGCCATGACATAGTATCTCGTGCGCACCACTTAATTATCTCGTGGCCACAACTTACTAACTCAATAAGAAATGAATGCATATTTTTTAATGATTACATTTAATGATCACAAAAATTTGCAGTGTGGTAACAACCTGAATTACAACAACAGGATCTTTAAGAACCTCGTGACCACGACTTAAGAAACTCGTGGAAACGACATAGTATCTCGTGCGCACCAATTAATTATCTCGTGTTCATGACTAAGTAACTCGTGGTCACGACATAGTATCTCGTGGCCAAGATACGAGTATAGTATCTCGTGCGCACACTTTAATTATCTCGTGGCCACGACTTAGAAACTCGTGGCTACGGCATTGTACCTCTTGACCAGGACATAGTATCTTGTGACCACGACATAGAACCTCATGCAGACCACTTAAATATCTCGTGGCAACGAATTACATGTAGAAACTCGTGGCCATGACATAATATTTCGTGCGCACCACTTAATTATCTCATGGCCACGACTTAGTAAATCGTTTCAACGACATAGTATCTCGACCTCACCACTTAAGTATCTCGTGGCTCAGACTTAGTAACTCGTGGCCTCGTGCGCACCACTTAATTATTTCATGGTCACCACTTAGTAACTCATTGCCAATGTTTTGAAAATGTTTTCAATTTTTATGTGACACCAATCAAAGTTCAAGGGAAATAAAACTAAAATATTATTCTTTAGTTCGTTACGAACAGTTGTCTCCCTTGAACCATTTGAAATTTATTTAAAATCTTTACAGTGACTTTTACTGTATTATCTAAATTGTGATGATTTCCTGTCAGACAGACGGACGGAAGGCAAACTCAATGTTTACACGCTTAACCAATGGTGAGTAATAAATTAACGAAAGCAATGCATTGGCATTCCTTACCTTCTTACATGTATATATTATAGAGAATAACAGCCTCCGGAATAAGTTTACAAATCTGGGATTTCAAGATCGACAAGGAAGGATACTATAAATAATACCAAAATTGCATTGAATGTACATTGATGCTGCCTCAAGATTGTCAATATTAGCCGATATTGAGTAAGTGTGCCAATACCGGTATCTGATATCAACTCACTTCCTGATATGCCAAAAATCAATATCAAGGTAACTTTTGGTCATTTTCCACCTGCATTCTAGCAATTGCAGACCGTCTGCACGTGAAATTTGTTACATCATTAGCATTTGGTAATGACTGTCGAGCAGGTACTACAATCTCAAACCGAATAATGGATTTTGGTGAGATTATATGATACAGGGCAACAAATGCAATAAATGATACAGGGCAAGTGTTCCTTACGTCGATACCCGCATACTTGGACGGCATTGGCCTTCGGGCCAATATTTTAAGATATGCCGATATCTTTATTAAGGCACATTTCCCTGTTAATGTCATATAATATATTTTTTTTCTTTTTAGAAATGGATTTCCACAGTTTTTGAGACATGTTTTTAAAGACTTTGACCGTCAATGTTGTTTAAGTTCTACCCTGCTCCCGACAAAGTTCAGGCGTTATCTAACGTCTCATATGCACACACTTAAACGGCATCCTCATTAACACGCTTAAACTTTATTTTATTCTTAGTGTGATTTTCAATGGAAAGGGAAATTAAATCTCTGTATTTCTCCGCAGAAAAAAAACCCCGTGATAACACTGAAACTACATTGTTGAATCTCAAATATTTGGATAATTATCATAAACGTACATAATCAGCAAAATAAAATGGCATAAGTGATAAACAGACGCAAAATGAAGAAAAATATAAATTTTCCATTCTAATTTGCTCAGTCTGTTTTGCAATAAACTCAAAGAACGCATCCCCCGGGAACACATGACGATGGCGAGGAGCCCAGCAGGACACACAAATAAAAACAACAACAATCAAACGATATAATTATCATTATTTTATAAAGTAAAGTGCATTTAAATAATAATATCATATATAAAGTGCAATTAATCATTTCTAAATAAGCATCAAAATCTTAATCTTGCAAAAATTCAAAACATCAAGAGGGTTTCGCAACAGCAGGTGCGAAGTTCCGTGTGGCAGCTGTAAAAAGTACTTCACTTGTTATATTTTCTGGTCTTTCGAGATCATTGAGTCTAGCACTAATTAGGTGTTGAGAATATCGTACGCCTAAGCCGGTACTAGGGGGTGTGTGGGATGTTTGCACTTTTTCATTTTCCCTCATGTACAATCCGAGTCTGCAATTTCCATGTATTTTTGCTGTTCTTAATGCTTCCTACGGATTCAGATATTCACTATAACTTTGTCCTCCCTTATGATTTTAATACTTATATCCTCCCGTTAGTTCATTCAAAACCTGGGATTACCCCTGGCCGATTTTAAAATCCTCATGGAGCAGGATTTCATGTATGTATATACTGTATTGAAAAATTGTCCCATTGCTGATGAAAAGAAACCGATACTATCCGCAATGTTTTGAAGTAGAAATAGACAACATCGTTCATTTGTAAATATAACAGTTTGAATTTTCCATTTATTGTCCTTGACGTCTTTATAATTAAAATATTATAATTTAAATAAAATGTCAATATTTAAAAAGATACTTTTGATAACTATGCTCTAAGTATTTGCATATTTAAACTTTGCTATTTCATACACGAGAAAAAAACAGCTAATTCGCTATGACTAAAAGCTTCCACAAGTCTTCTGCGACATTTTCTATACTTTTCTGTTGCATTGCGTTACGATGGAGATTATTTACCAACATTACGAATCAACTTTATTAAATGACAATTCTTATCAAATGTATTTAAATTGAATAAATATGCGAGTCTTTAAAGTGTTCAAAATTAAAGCAGTCTATTGAATATTAGCCGTGTAATTTCTTGATAACTTTATATAAAAAATATGTTACTGATTACATTGCATGGTGCGTAACATTATCAACATTTGAAGATGGTAGCTGAAACTTTTATCTATAGATCTTTTAGATTAATTACACATTTTTTGTATTACTTTTTTAAGAATAGGTATGTAGGAGAAAAGGTGAAGAGTAAAACTTGCTAGCATCAAACAACCAGCTGTATGAATATACAAATGCTAAGCATATGATTTTAAATTGAAATTAAAATACTAAATATATATGTACAACTGAAATAAAAGTTTTAATAGGATTAACAAAACATACGTTAGTCTTGATTAAGTATAAAAAAGCAACAATATTCATAATGTTTTAAGCAATCAGTTTTGCAACGAATAATAAATTGTAAACTTGAGTTTTAACAAGATAATATAAGTCTATATATCGATATCGTTCAGTTACAACAGCAGCTGCGTCTAATTTTCATCTCAGTTGTTTTCATTGGATTGTAGAATCCTTTCCATGGATACCAAACAGGTCCGGTGGCGTATTTCTTGTTCCCATAGTCACCGTTCAGATTTGAAATGTGGCATTTTTCGTACCACCAAGCACCATGGTACTTAACAGCACACTTCTCGTTGTGAGATACATCGTTATCCTTATCATATGTTGAAAACTTCATTCCATTACCTTTTTTGATAAAGGCGTCACCGGCTGTTCCAGATTACCCGCTTACGTAAAGTTTATATCCAGAATGTTCGTTACCAATGGAAAATTCTTTATATTCTGCAAAAGCCGTTTTACCGTCAGAACTTGTTAGATCTATACGTAATTCGTATCTTCCCTGCCTTATAATCTGATGGATCTTTTCATTTTCAAGCCATAAATTTGTTGTAAGATCTCCAAATCCATCTTTATAATCCTGCCACTTCTTATAAAATTCCGAGTCAGATATACGCCTTTGTATCACCGTCCATCCTCCTGTAGATGTATCCATGTCACATCTGACTTGAATTCCTTTATCGTCTTGGTACGGAAATATCCTGTAAGTACCTGTGGGTCTGTATCTCGGTTTCTGTAAATCACTGCAATCAATCGGTTTAGCAAATGTTCCTCCAACTAATGAAGCAAGTATGATTAACTTTAAGTCCATGCTTGGTTTTATCTTTACCTCTTTTTTCTTCTCCTCAGATATACGTGCTATAAAAACACTTTTAGTTATGGACACAATCCACAAAAATATGTCGTTTTATACCTGTTTATCCAAGTATGTCGATGATCATAATTTGATAAAAAAGGGATGTTTCGTAACAAAGATTTATGGGCATATTTCGTAACAAGATTTGTGTGACAGATTAAGAATGTTAACGCCAAGGCTTGGCTTAAAGTGACATTATACCCATGCAGGGGTAAAGTGGTGAAAGTGAAAATATGTTTACAATATGTGATCATGTTAAACTCATATAGTTCCGCTCCAAAATTTCCTACTCTGAATTCCGTCCCAGAATTTTGTTTCATAATTCCGCTCCAAAATTCCGCCCCAGGATTCCGTTCCAAAATTCCGCCCAAACTCATTTGCAGATTTTGTCCCAATGTCGCCCGGAATCGTTTCATAATACCGCTCCAAGATTCTGCTCCAAAATTCCGTCCAAACTCATTTTGCATATTTTATCCCAATTCCGCATGGAGTCCGTCCCATTTCCGTCTGGGATCCGCGTAGAATCCGTACATAAAGCAATTGGTTAGCACTTGTATAGTCGGAGGTAGAATTTAACTCTCTAGGCGGAATTCGCCATTATATTAAAGTCCGTCCCATTCACGTGCAGGAAATTTCGTACAGGCGATTTCAATTCATTAGGAATTAAGTTTAAAAATAGACTTTGGATCCACAGGGAGCATCAAATAGTTGATAAGTTTTCAACATCTTTACAGTGGATTTTAACTCAAATTTAAATCATTATTGAGATGATTTCATCTTTCTTGGAAAAACAGCAACTTTTAGAGTGTCAAAATCTCATGGACAATTTTCGATACATTTGTCAAAGCATTGGTATTCCACTTGGTGAAGACAAAACAGAAGGACCTACCAGTATGCTTACATATGAGCCGTGCTATGACAAAACCAACATAATGGGTTTGCGACCAGCATGGATCCAGACCAGCCTGCGCATCCGCGCAGTCTGATCAGGGTCCATGCTGTTCGCTTACTAACCCTATTACAAGTAGAGAAACTGATAGCGAACAGCATGGATCCTGATCAGACTGCGCGGATGCGCAGGCTGGTCTGGATCCATGCTGGTCACAAGCGCATAAAGTTGGTTTTGTCGTGACGCGGCTTATATCTAGGATTTGAATTTGACTCAAGTTAAATGGCATTTAGAATACCTGTTGAAAATAAATATGTAAACCAAATCATTTTAGAGTAAATGATATGTTTGAAAAAAAATACGTTTACGAATATTTCAGTACTTAGTAGGTCTTCCTAATTTTTTCACCAAGGCATATCGGGCAGAGATTTTCACTGTGATTTATATTCTGCTATGTCTCATGCTAAAAAAACACAATACTTCATCCGAATTACAAATACAATACGGAAACATTTAAAGATATGGTTAGAATTTTTAGATAACTACAACATTGTTTCTGGTTTTAGTAATGTCGATTTGGTTTCTGACTTAGATTTAGATTTATTCACTGACGCGCCCAGGATGTGATACATATCTTGGTGGAGAATGGACTTTCTTTAAGTGGCCAGTGTACTGGAGTGATGAAACTTTTAAAGATATAACATTTCTAGAACTAGTATCTATTTTGCTTGCATTTCAATTATGGTCTGAAAAACTGAGAGGTAAAATGAATAGTTATTTTCAAGTCAAAAATCATCTCGTTATAAGCGAGCTATGATTTTATTAAGGGATATGGTTTTACAACTTTTGCACACACAAAATATGCAGATTTAATCGAAACTGATTAATTTATGTCACCTAAGCCGTTTCCAGTTATCTCGTTTATTAGATTTATTGCCAGTCTGCCTAACGCTACCCTTTATCAATTCCACAGGAATTCAGCACTCTTTGCAGCAAAATATTTTCAAGTTGATAAAAGGATTTTCAACTGGGAGTACTCGTCGCAGCTTAAAAAATTAAAATAATTCCGCGAATTAAGGTTAGTAGATAACGCACTTACAAACATGATACAGATCTACGCCCTTCTGTTCAGCAAATTATGGAATATATTTTTTTTATGTTTTTACGCATACAGGACTGTGAACAGTGATATATCAGCAATCAGCTATTTTAATAATATAAACAATTTCAATGATGAAACCATTTTTTGTAATTCAAAAAACTGAAAGACGGTTTGAAAAGAATTCAAATCGTAGAGATATTCGAAAACCAATATACATTAATTTGCTACAAAGCATTGTTAACTGCCCTGTACACATATGACAATCACTGCACGAAATTAAACCTTTTTAACTGCCTTTTCATTGGCTTTAAATGGGCTTTTACGAAGTTACTATCAAAAACAGATCTTTTTGGTCAAGGATGGCTCATTGAAATCTCTAATACATGTAATTGAGACAAATATATGACAAAACAAAATTCTCATGCTATAAAATGACTGATGTATTGCTGCTTCTTTTAAAGAGAGAGAAAAAAGACTAGCTCAATAGGTAGAGCATAAGACTGTTAATCAGGTGACCCAGGTTCGATTTCCGGACGGTGCAGATGGATCTACGCACTGTACCTATGCTCTTGTACGTACAGAAGTTTCACTTCATTGCGAAAGAGAAGGCAACTATTACTGATAAACTGCTTGACAGCCTGCCCAGGAACGATGCAGTGACTGAACTGTGCTCTGGTGAATTCAATGTGGCTTGCTGCTGTTATCCTTAGTGAAAACTACCAACACCAACACGGACTGAAGTGAAGTCCTGCTTAACACTTTTAAACTGAAATTTAGCACATTTAGCCATAAACTGTTATTAGTTTTTCACTCATTTATTTGTTTAATTTAGGAATGCAATGACACCTCTAATGCAACACGCTTCCGAGGAAATTTACAGCATTAAAAGAGACACCTCACTTGTTTTGCCTGTTAATATTTAGTTCAAAAACAAGAATCATAGAGATAATAAACATAAATTAATATGATGATGATAATTGGTTTAAACATATTTTATTCGATATATTTACATTATGATGAACAATTTACACACTACATTTGGGATTGGGCAGAAAGCTATGAAAGCTTATGAGTGTCCTGTCCCAGTTTAAACAATTTACATATATACAGTTCATGGCATTATCATGCACAAAATTCATTTAGTTGAAAATATATCAAAAACATTTTCAAAAAAGAGGTATTTTGCAATTAATAAATACGAAACCAAATTTAAAATGAGAAAAAAAAATGCAAAAGAAAAATGAAACAAGATGGAGGTAAAAAATCAATTATTATATGACAGAGATTAATTTAGTTAGAAGTCGCCGTTTAATATACCTCGGAATGTGAAATCGAAAAGACAACTGTGTTTAAACGGAGACAAAATATTGTAATTAAAATCTTAATTGATAGTTATAAATTACAATTATGCAATTACGAAAAAGAAATCTACCCGCTAATATTGACAAAAAATGATAATGATGATAATTAAGGTCAATTTAAATATACGAACAACTGACATTGTATGAGTAAAGAAATGACACAATACTGCAGACTGAGCTCAATTGTATTAATAAAAATATAAATTAAAGCAAAGTGCTTGAGAGGAACGTTTAATAATTATTTTCAGATGAAGGTGACAAAATAGAAAATTATTTTTAACTTGTTATCGGTTTATTTCTAATGGTGACTGTCGCATATATAAAGCTAGATTACACACGCCCCCGTCATTCCCGTTATTGAAATTAGAATTAATTTAATTGAATTAAATCTATTTATTTATTTATTTTTTTTGCTTAATATTAACTTCCAAGGAACATATTACTCTGCCGAATATTAAAATCCTGTTCAACAATAATAGATATTAGTAAAATAAAGGACTTTGCTAGACTTTGCAAGACTTTACGGCACTATTTTACACTTGAATTAACACTAAATTTTACTCGCCCCAGCAAAAATAAAATTGATTCCACAAATCCCCGTTATTAAAATAAAAATTAATTAAATTAAAATTAAACATTTTTGAATATTTCTTTACTGAATATTGAATTCATGTTAATAACGACAGAATAAAAAACCCGGACTTTTCTAGACTCTGCTTGATTGTACCCTATATTCCACAAACCCCCGTACGCGTTATAAAAATAAAAACAAATTCGTTTAAAATTAAACATTTTTTTCTGAAATAAATGTTCAAGGAACATATTTCTTTCCCGAACAAGAACAAGTAGGAACAAGAACCTGTAGACGTAAGACAACGCGATACGATTTTATTTTTCAAATGTCACTTTGCATTGTCGTGTGTCGCTTCGCGTGTTAGATTGTCGCTTCACATTGTCGAACGTCGCTTTGCATTGTCAAGTGCCGCTTCGCATTGTCAAGTGTCGCGGTTAAAAGATCAGAAAAATAGCGCGACACTTTTACGACATTTTAAAAATATTGCTTCGCGATGTCAAGTGTCGCTTTGCATTGTCGAGCTTCGTATCGTATTGTCGCATTTTCGATCCGCATTGTCGCATTGAGTGTCGTGGAATGCATTTCTGCTAAACCAGACACTCGACAATGCGAAGTGACAATGTGTCAATGCGATGTGACAATGCGATAACGCGAAGTAACATCACGACAACGCGAGGCGACGTTCGTCAATGCGAACATTTCTAAAAAGTCGCTCTTTTTACCACGACATTTTTAGGCTATATTGCGACATATCGTTCGACATTGTCGGGCGTCGCTTCGCATAGCGCACGTCGCTTTGCATTTTCGAGCGTCGCTACGCATTGTCGCGATATCACTTCGCATTGCCGTGTGTCGCCCTTAGACGCGAAGGACGACATTATAAATGGCACGATAAGGACACCGTACTTGTACCATAATGTACGAAATCAAATAATTTCAAATAGTATATTTTCTACTGATGTCACCAGGTGTAGTTCCTAATTTGTAGAGGAAAACTGATTAGAAACGCAAGGTAATCATGGGCAATTATTAAGAGTTTTGATACACGTTA